TTGGACTTTTTTATCAGTGGTTTTATTTTTCTCTTCTTATTCTAGAATTCTGATTATATGTAGGTTATTCCTTTTCATGGTATCCCACATGAACCTTAGGCTTTCTTTATTTTCTTTTGATCTTTTTTTCTGATTGATCCCTTTCCAGAGAAATATTGAGGGACTTATCTTCAGTCTCATTAATTCTTGACTTCCATTGATTCGATTCTGCTAGTTGGCACTTTCAATGTATATATCGATTTCTGAAAATTTAGTATTAATCTTCTGGATTATTTTCTGTCATTTCTAATTTTTCATTTATTTTGTCATTTTGTTCTTATATTTTCTTCTGAAATTGTTCTAAGGTTTTGTCTGTGTTTTCCTTAATTTTGTCAGTGTTTTCTTGATCTGTCTCTCAATCCAGTGGCTGGTGGGTTTGAACCGCCAGCCGTCTGGTTAGCAGGCAAGTGTCTTAGCCACTATGCTACCAGAGCTCCCACCAATCCATTGAAGGTACTTAAATATAATTCTTTTGAATTCCTTATCAGGGTGTTCCAATGCTGCTGCTTCCTCATATATGTGTTCTGGGTCTGTATCCTGGTCCTTTTTTCTACTACTTTATTTTGCTTCTTTGTGTGGACTGTGATGGTCTGTGTTTTTCAGACATTGTGACATCATTGTATTTATATTTAATTGGTGATTGTATGTTGGAGTGAGTCACCCAAGATTTTTGTTGTTTTCTTTTTGGATGTATCTGAGTAAGCAGGGTACTGTGCTCCTCTGTTCACTATTGGCAGCACTTATGCGCTCACCACCTGTCTCCTGGTGGGTGTGATAGAGAATGAGAGTGGCTACACAGATCTCTGTTAACTGTTTGTGTAGAGCAGTTAAGGGTAAATCAGGCTTTTATTGGTGGTCATGTATCGTTGGAGAGTTGGTGTAGAAGGAAGCAGTAGCTCTCAGTAAGTGGAGCTGCAGGAGGTGCGGGTGTGGTTGGGTTGTGTGGGCACAGTTGCTGTCTTCCACTCAGTTAGACAAAAAGAGCAAATGAAAAATCTTCAAAAAAGTAAAAGTAAGAGGACAAAAAACACACAGTACATAAATGCATAGGAACAATCACCAAAAAGGGAAAAAAGAAAAAAAGAGAAAAGACAATAAATGACAGAAAATATTTAAAGAAATAATTTAATATGAATAGAAAAAGGGGGCGGGGCTGCAATATCTGGGGAGGGGGGAGTAAGAGAAAGGAGATAGAGTTGGAGACTAATGAAAAAAAAAATGGGAAAAATGCAAGAAGAAAAACAAGGAATGAGGAGAACTTTAAGAAAGAAAAAAATGGGAACCAGGAGAGAAAAAGCCAAAAAGTAGAACCTGGGAAGGGAAGAAGAAAGAATAATAATAAAAAGGATGAATAATAATAATTATTATTTGAAAATAGACAAAACCAAACAAACTAATTAAAAAACAAAAATCTGCGTGAGGCAGGGCACCCTGGCTGCATCAGAGCATGTAGACTGGGATGGAATTCCTGCTCTCCCAGAAGATGGGTACGTGTGATGGATGGTTGCATCTCTGTTCACCAAGAGGGGGTGGGGTATAAGAATAACAAGGGGAATAGCACACCTTTCCAGTCCTCACTGTGCGGTATATCCTTGAGGTCCCCAGTGAGTGGAGGCTATTCTTAGGCCCCTGGAATCTGAGAGAACGCTGTTGCTTTAAATTTCCAAAATGGTTGAACTGCTTGTAAACATTCAAAATAGCTGCTCCTTCTGGACAGCCAGAAGTCCACAGCTGAGCCTTTCTTTGTCTTCTTTGTCTTCCCCTAAGTTCACAGCCACCAGTGCAATCCTCCATGAAGACCCTGGCTAGCAGGGCCAATTTTTAGGTCCACTTGGCAATATACAAGCTGTCCGTGCTGTCAGGATTGCTGACATGGCTCTGTATGTCTCCTTTTTTGGTGTTTTCATGCAGGTTCTTCTACTAGTTGGTGTTTATTCCACTTCTGTATCCTTCCTTTCAATGCTCAGGATTATCTTCTGTATCTGTGGTAATTAGTTCCTGTGTTCTTTGTTGAAGAGGGTCTGTGTAATTTGTCTGCCTATTCCACCATTTTACCAGAACTCCTGTCATGATCAGCTATGGGAGCTCTGGTGGCATAGTGCCTAAGGCACTTGACTGCTAGCCAGAAGGCTTATGGTTCAAACCCACCAGCCACTCCTCGGAAGGAAGATGGGGCAATCTGCTTCCATAGTGATACTGCCTCAGAAACCCAAGGAGGGGTTGCTATGAGTCGGGTTTGACTCAACGGCACATAACAACAACAACAACAGTCAAATAATCTTTTGTATGGCTTATATAGCATATTCATCTCTGTAGATGTGTAAATAATGTATAACAAGTTATAAAGCTATATTTGTCTTACATGTTTATCAGATCTTGAACAATTAATTCTTTTAAAATTATGCCACTTTTGTTTTTTATTTGGGTTTTCTTTACTAGGTTCAGGATTAAAAAATGCCTAAACATTTTAATGTGAGTGTCGTTAGTTCAGTGTCATTTAACGAAAGATGAAATATGTGAACATAGGACCATAGCAAAGATGAGTGTTAACTACTGTTGTGGATTGAATGTGTTACCCTATAATATACATTGAAGTCCTAAAGACTGGTGTCTGTGAATGGGGCCTCATTTGGAAATAGGGTGTTTTAAGATAGAGTCCTGATTGGGTCCTGATCCCATCTGAATGATGTCTTATGAAAGTAGAGAAAAGTCATATGAAGGGTTAGACAGAGGAGGAACTTCCATGTGACAATGGAGGCAGCTGCAGCTGCAAGGCGAAGAACACCAAGGATTGTCAGGAGCCACCATAAACTAGGAGACAGGAATGGAACTGTTTCGCCTAAGTAATCAGAAGTAATCCACAGGGCCAGTACTTTGACTTCTTGCTGCCAGAACTATAAGACAATAAATTTCTGTTCTTTAAAGCCATCTATCTTGTGATACTTTGTTACAGTAGACCTAGGAAAATAAGACACCTACCAAGTCCACAATTGCACAAGTAAAAAGCATTTGACATTCATTTATTGAGTATTCACGGAGTAGCTAATGTGTTCCAGGCTAGCTCTTCTAGATAGGGCATTCAGAAAAGACCTCTATGAGGAGGTCGTGACATTTGTGGTAAGACATGGATGTCTGAAGGTGCCCTCTGTGCAAGGCTTTGGGTGGGAAGCAGGCCAGGCTTGGAAGAGGACTTGCAGTTTATATGTTTGATGGAAGTTTACTTTCATAGTAAAAATTCTTACACATTTTTCTGTTGTCCATTGGGAACAAATGAGATAAAAGCATGTGTATGTTAGTGACCCAGATGGCAATTTAAGATAAGAAAAGACAAATCCAAGCTGGTTCAAATGGAGAAAGCAGCTTATTCCACCATCACTACAAGTTGTCTGGAGCCAGTCCTGACTTACGGTGACCCTATTGTAAGGTCACAGTAAGGAGAAGAGGACGCACAAAAGTGAGGTTAAAGAGAAGTTTTTATTCTGAGTTTCCGGGGGAGGTTTACAGGTCCCTGAGAGGGGGCCCGGGCGAGGTTCACGGGTCCCTGGGAGGGGCCCAAGAAGTCGCGCTGCTTGGCTGGGGAGGGGAGGGTTTATAGTCTTGTGGAGGACCTAAGTGGGGACACTAAGGAAATGGTGGGGTCCAATTAGCTGTTAGCATGGGTCTGCACTTAATTAGCATGAGGGGGCTTCACAAGAGGAAGTTTGCCACTGCATGGGACTTTCTAGTCTGGGCGGGTTCTGTCACTTTGGTTGTCTTATCAGGCTGTCTCATCAGGGCTTGATACCCGGAGGAAGTTGCTAACTGAAATGTTGGTGGCTTGGGTTTACTTCGGCCTAACACCTATGAGTGTCAAAGTAGAACTATGTTCCATAGGATTTTCATAGGCTAGTTTTTCAGATCACCAGGCCTTTATTTCGAGGTACTTCTGAGTGAACTTAAACCTGTAATTTTGTATACCAGCTGAGCATGTTAACTCTTTAGACCATGCAGGGACTTTAGCAGTTTATTAGCTGCCTAGAAATAGACTTTCTTTTTTTTTCAGGGTATCAATATATATTTTTGGTTTTAATTTTTCAAAATGTTACAATATTAGGCTAGATAAATCTAAAATGGAATATTCATATTAAAATAATAACATCAATACCAAGAAATGTATTTTGACCAGTTTTTGAATTTTCTACATTTTTTAAAAAGGTGATTGCAGAAAAAGTGTATGGAGTCTTACTACCCAAAAATAACTTGCAAAATTTGCTGTGGAGTAAGAAAACAAAACAAAAGAAAACTCATTCTCATTAGTTTGGTTTTGTTGAGGGAAAAGTGGATTTTATTAGTCAAATACTCTTGTACATTATAAATTGTGTTCTCTGGTATATCTACCAACAGGGAGATTCAGAACTATAATCCTAAAACTTTTTTTTTTTTTTTTTAATTGTGATTTGGGTGAAGATTTTAAAACATTTTTAACTGTTAATTTCAAGACTTTTTTTGTTTGTTTGCCAATAACTGCATTTTCTTGTTCCTCTAAATTGTTTACAGCAAACACTTTGTTCTTCACCTTTCTTTCCAACTCCATTCATCGGTAGCCTTGTAGTGATTATAATGGAGATAGGAAGGAGAAGGTGAAAGAGAAGAAACCTGGGGAACCTGCCATTTGGGAAATTACTCTTTTAATATATAATTGATGATTATGGCTTAAGACAAAATTATCATCTTAGTTTTTTCCTTGTTTTCTTTTTGGAGGAATTAAACTTGGATTAGTAATCTCTTTAAAACATGTAGTAAAGTAAAAGAAACTCATGTGTGCTGTAGGATAAAGTACAATATTTATGTTAATACAAATTGTTTTCTTCCCATTTTTGAAATTTACATGTAGCGAGTATGTAAGCCTATGTTGAAAATGTAAAATCTCATTTGTTGTTTATTTATTTTTTTCATATATTGCTATTTTCTTCGTTTTATAGAAAATACTGCAATTTCTACCTGAACGGATTTTCTTTCGATGGCATTACCAGAGTATAGGTAAGAACAATTAAACAAAATATTTTTAGTACCGATTTCTTCCAATTGAATTTGGTAATATTTTATATAATTAACATAATCAAGATAGCTTATAGGGAACAATATTAGCAAGGAAGGGTATGCTAATTAAAACTGAGACAAGTTGTTTCTGGACTTTGGAGGGTTATAAAATCTATTTCTTGCTTTTGAAGTGCTGCTCAGAATGTGGTTCATGGGCTAGCAGGATTGGCCTCACTTAGAGCTTGTTAGAAATGTAGGATCTCAGGCTTCAACCAGACCTACCAAATCATAGTTTGCATTTTTGACAAGAGCCATGGGAGATTTCTGTGCATATAAAGTTTGAGAAACACTAATCTAGAGTATTTTCCTTGAATAATTTTACATTCTGCTTTACAAAATACCTTATTCTCCAAGTCTTTATTATTACCTAACTAGGTTATTCTTAGGGGCTCTGGTGGCATAGTACCTCAGGCATTTGACTGCTAACCAGAAGGCTAGTGGTTAAAACCCACCAGCCACTCCTCAGAAGAAAGGTTGGGCAATCTACTTCCATAGTGATAGCACCTCGAAAACCCAAGGAGGGGTTGCTATGAGTTGGATCCGACTCAATGCAGTGAGCAGCAGAAGTTATTCTTATACATAGTATAAAGTATAAACACTACCAAATGTATAACTAGAAATTTGTTTATGGTATATTGCCTTGGGGTACCTGGTAGCCTCAAATTGCCTGGGATAGCCTCTGACCAGCCTCATTTCTCAAAGTTTCTACTGCCCACTGGGCTCTAACTTCTCCTCACGGGCCTGAGTTTGGCAGCCCTCCCTGAGTCCCCTATAGTCAGGCCATACTACAACCTACTCATCTTGAGGAAGCAGGGTATCCACATGTACTTAATGCTAGGACACTCTCAGAAGTACATCACAGCCAGACCTGATTCCAGGTCCTTTATATGTCTCCATGCCTACCAGGGGATGACTGGGACTAATGCTCCTGGCATTGTTGGGGCCAGCTCACTTGGTGCATTCCCAAGGTCTTCTCTGGGCTTCTCATCATTGTATATTGCTCTGTGTTTCTTCCCACTTCTTTGTACTCTGCCCTCTGGAAGTCTTCTTTTTGAGTTACGCAGTGGCCCTACATCCTCAGTCTCTTTATTTCATCTCCTTGGCTATCTGAAACTTGGCTTTTCCCAGAGGCTTCTCTCTTTCTTGCTGGGGCATTAGGGTAAGATCATGGTCTTTGTTTTCTTTAAGGCTATTTCTAGACATTATCCATTCCCTCTGTAGAAACCTCTCTCCCTTGACTATGCCACCTCCCTTCCTTATTGCTGCTGTGTCTTCTGTTCTCCTGCTCAATTAGTGTCATTTTTCAATGAGTCTCAGTACTTTTCTTTTGTGCCAAGTTACCTATTGGTCCCTTGAGCTCCATCTTTCTTTGTGGCTTCCTAATTTCATCTTCCCAGTACTAGTCATCTTAGAAACATATACCTGACCACGACCTCTATCCTCCTAATCTTTCTTCCAGTCATTTCCAAGCCACCTGTTCTGTGTGTTTTTTTTTAAAGAGGTATAATTGACATATAATACACTGTACATATTTAAATGTATATTTTAATAAATTTTGACATAGGTATATGCCTGTGAAATCATTACCACAATGAAGATAGTGAACATAGCCATCACTCCTAAAAGTTTCCTCATACCCCTTTGTAATCTCTCCCTCCTGCCCTTCCTCATCTCACCTCACAAACCCCAGGCAACCATTAATCTGCTTTTTGTCACCGTAGATTAGTCTGTATTTTCTAGAGTTGTATATGAATAGGCTCATACAACATATACCCCTTTTTGTCTGACTTCTTTCATTTAGCATAATGGTTTTAAGATTCATCCATATTGTTGCATGTATCAATAGTTCATTCATTTTTATCTTCAACCAGCACAGTATTCCAACGTATGGATGTGGTAGCTAAGTTTGTGTGCCAACTTGGCTGGGCCTGGTTGAGTGGCTAGGCAGCTGGATGTAGTTAGTGTTCCCCATGATGAGACTGGTAATCAACTCCATGGTGGAATCTACTGTGAGCAGCTGAGTAGCTGCCTTAGGGATGTGGTCTGCTTCCCATA